GTGCTTACCTGGAGGAGCGGTCACAGAGGGCTACCAATGCCCTGGCCTCAGGCCAGAGGTCAGGCCTGTTGTCTCTCTTAATCCTCCCCTTCCAGGCCCTGCACTTCTTAGTGCCATTTTACAGCCAAGGAACTGAGGCTCAGAGAGGGCAAGGGTCGTGTCCGGGGCCACACAGCAGAGTGGCAAATCACCGACCTGGGGATGGAGCTTGTGCCCACCCAGCCAAGGCAGAGATCTCCTCTCCCCTTTAAAAAATGGTTTTGTTGTAATCGGGGAGACCAGTACAGGGAGGAAGGGGAGGTGTGGCACCACCCAGGATGGGGGAGGTAGGGAAGGTCAGTGTGCTCCCGTCCACTGCCAGTTACCTGGTATCTTACAACAGTCTGTGGCTCCTGCCCGGCCTGTGCTCATGCTTGAGAAACTCGAATGAGCCTAGCAAGTCCCAGGCTGAGGCTGAGCTGCATGTCCCTGAATGTCAGGCTTGGCAGTGGACATGCCAGCCTCAGGAATGGTTTGGCTTTCCGATCTGGCCTGCTTTCAGCAGCCACCTCAACATTGGGCGTGGTGGTGACTGGCGGGCCAGGGCTCTTCCCACCCCCCTGCGCGTCGCTGTAGCTCTTTGTTTGGGGAGCTGGACGTCCAGAGATGTGCCCATGAGTTAGAGCGAGTCAGCCCTGACTCACGGCGACCACGTGTCTGCCCGGGAATGTGCCGTGCCTCGTAAGTTTTCGATGGCTGCCCACTAGCCCTGTTTTCCGAGGCACTTAGGCGTGGACTGGCACCTCTAACCTTCCCATGAGCAGCCAAGAGCAGTGGCCATTTCCTTTCCTAGGGGCCCCTCGGAGATATCAGGGTAGGAATGACTGCTAAATCACAATCAATTTCATGGCTCCAACAAGCTTGGGTGACTCCTAGGAAAGTCCTTCCGGGAGCATAGGCCCTTAGGCATCAGAGCCTCACACTCGGGTGACAGATGTGGCCTCAGGCCAGCTGCTGCCTGGCCACCCTCCCCTCTCCAGGACCTAGTGGTCCAGTCTTGAGCCTTGGGCTGTCCTGATCTGGGGGTTGTTTTTTGTTCGACTGGGTCCTTCTTCTTTAGGGGTTCCAGCTGCCGAAGCCACCGGAGCCCCCTTCTGTTGAAGTGGAGTACTACACCATCGCGGAATTCCAGTCCTGCATTTCTGATGGGATCAGTTTTCGGGGCGGACAGAAGGCAGAGGTAAGCTCTGGCCTAAGCAGCCCCGACACCTGGGGTGGGCAGGAAAGGTGAAGGACTGACGCCCGCAGGGATGTGCTAGAAAGCCAGGATTAGACCCCCCTTTAATCCCCCCAGGCTGCTCTCAAGCCAGTGTTCCCCTGGGTACCACAGGAGCTGCCAACGGGGTACCGTGAGTGTGGGGGACTGTCCACTTCTTGTTCCAGTTGTAGGACTTCTGGAGCCCCTGATACGGTGGCATGCTCTGGACTCCCTACCAGGCACCAAAAGGACCCGCAAGCCCGGACCCCTCTGGTCTGGGAGCAGCACAGACAAGGGGGCTGCAGAACCCACTTTAAGAAGTGCCGTTGGTGTGAGCATGGGGTCCAGGCAAGTGGAGTGAGATCCTGGGGGGTCGGGCTTCTGATCCCACCCAGGACATGGGCACCATACCCCCTGGCTTAGAGTGTTGCTCTCTGCGCAGTGGAGTAAGTGAGACCCCTCTCCCACAGCTTCTCACATTAATGAAACTATTTGGGGACTAGCTCCAGACATGGCCTTCAGGGGGACAAAAAAGGTCTGTGGAGGCCAGTGCCCCAGAGTAGGCTTGTGCCTGTCATTGTATTGTCCTTTGCTGGATTGAGCTCCGTAGTCAGTGTGTGGCGCACATTGGAGGCTTGTGGCAACCCCTGGACTGATCAAGGCTATCGGTGCCCTTTTCCCACCTGTCCACCCGCTTGGCATTCTCACGATGTTTCAAACCTTTTCATAATGGTCTTGCACATGTAATAGACTACAGGGTAGTGTCAACGTAACTGTTCTGTGCAGCAAACACAGTACTGTCAAGTCCGCTTGGACTCAGAGAGACCCTGCAGGGCAAAGTAGGACTGGCCCTTGGGGGGTTTTGAGGCTGGAAATCTTTCTCCCTGAGAGGTGCCGGTGGGTTTGAACTACTGACCTTGTGATTAGCAGCCCAACACTGAACCACCCAAGGCTCTTCTCATTACGCACTGGGAAGCAGTTTTAAGGCAATGCTTGCTTTATAGCCCTGGGCTCCACCTGAATCCGCTGCATCTCCAAGGTATGCTCCCTCACGTGAAACTGACAGACCAGTGGAGCAAGCCTCTTCCTGCTGATGCGGCGGGGCTTCAGCGCAAGTGCTTTGAGCCACCTGTTTGGTCCTTGGGAAACACATTGCCAAGAGAAAGCATTCTCTCACTGGGTTCAGGAAGGCTCAGCAGGTGACAGGACTGTCACGTTAGGGTCCAGTTGAGCGGAGGAGCAGGGAGGCTGTCTGTTCTGGCAGAGGCTGCAGGGTGCTGGTTCCAGACAGAGTTAGCCTCTGCTGCTCTCTGGTCTCCCTCGCTCCCTCCTTCCTTCCCACCCATGCCCCTGTTCCCGTGGTGCCCGCATTGTCATGCCACCCTTCCCTGGGACCTCTTCCTCCAGGAGCATCACATGATCCAAATTGACCTTCTCCCCATGCTCTCCAGTCCAAGGCAGCCGGCAGCCGCACTCCTGGTTGGACATTTCAAAGACGCCTCTTCTTGGCCTAGTTTATACTAACATGGAAATGACGGATAGCTTTGCACCCTTCAAACCATAGAAACCCCGTCCAGCTGGTGGGAAGCAGACACGAGGTGAAATCAGGCCCAGGAAGTCGGGACACTAGGGACAGGTCGTCCATGCAGCTCTCCTGCACCGTCCCATCCTCTTCTGTCCCAAGAGAGCCTCTTGAAGTTCTAAGCTTTGCTCTAAAGAGAGCCTAGCCATATTGGGGGTGGGAAGGGAGGGCAGGGGAGGTAGGAGGGCAGGCTTTCGTACGAGGGAGACCTTGGTGAGTTGGGTGGCTTGGGGTGGGGGCAGGCAAGAGCAGAGGATCTGTGGGGGAGGCTGGAGTGGTGACGAAGACTTGGAGAAAGGGACCCCCTCACAGTCATGAGGCACTGGAGACCCAGGTTGGTGTCTGGCCTCGCTACGTGCTGTTTTGGCTCCTGGGTCTAAACTCAGTTTGTTGGGCCATCACATGGGGGGGGCTGGGAGGGGTCTCCTAAAGCCAAAGGACAGATTGAGCCTGGTGCCCTGCAGCGTCCAGTGGTCCACCCAAGGAGATGACCTGTCACTTGCTCTCTTCCCCCCACAGGTCATCGATAAGAACTCGGGAGGCTGGTGGTACGTGCAGATCGGGGAGAAGGAAGGCTGGGCCCCCGCATCCTACATTGATAAGCGCAAGAAGCCTAATCTGAACCGCCGCACCAGCACGCTGACCCGGCCCAAGGTGCCCCCACCGGCACCACCCAGCAAGCCCAAGGACGCCGAGGAGGGGCCAGCGGCAGGGGCCAGCGAAGGCCAGGACTCCCCACTGACGCTCAAGTATGAGGAGCCCGAATATGACATCCCGGCCTTCGGCTTCGACTCCGAGCCCGAGCCGAGCGAGGAGCCTGGGGAGGACGGGGGCCCCGGGGAGCGGCGGCCAGCTCAGCCCCGCCGGCCCTCGCCGGCCTCCTCGCTACAGCGGGCCCGCTTCAAGGTGGGTGAGTCATCGGAGGACGTGGCCCTGGAGGAGGAGACCATCTACGAGAACGAGGGCTTCCGGCCGTTTGCAGAGGACACCCTGTCCGCCAGAGGTTCCTCTGGGGACAGCGACTCCCCAGGGGGCTCCTTGCTGTCCCTGGCCAGGAAAAACTCCCCCAAGTCCTCCTCGTTGCTCAAGCTCAAGGCCGAGAAGAATGCCCAGGCCGAGCTGGGGAAGAACCGCTCCTCTGCCTCCTCCTCCTCTTCCTCCTCCATCACCATCAACACCACTTGCTCCTCCTCCTCCTCGTCGTCCTCCTTGTCCAAGAACAGCGGCGACCTGAAGCCCCGGTCTGCCTCCGACGCCGGCATCCGAGGCACCCCCAAGCTCGGGGCCCGCAAGGACACAGACGTGAAGGCCGGCCTGGCCTCCTGTCCCCGGGCCAAGCCGTCGGTCCGGCCCAAGCCCTTCCTGCACCGCGCGGAGTCCCAGCAGCAGGAGAAGATGGACATTAGCACCCTGCGGCGCCAGCTGAGGCCCACAGGCCAGCTCCGCGGCGGCCTCCGGGGCTCCAAGAGCGAGGACTCCGAGTCGCCCCCGACCTCGGCCGCGGAGGCAGCCGCGGAGGGGCCGAGGCGGGGTTCGGCCGATCTCATCCCCCTCCCTGCCGCTGCCACCCCCTCGGGTCCAACCAAGAAGGAGCGGGAAGGGCCGGCCAGTGCCTACGTGACGTGCAGCGCCTACCAGAAGGTGCAAGAGTCGGAGATCAGCTTCCCGGCGGGCGTGGAGGTGCAGGTGCTGGAGAAGCTGGAGAGCGGGTGGTGGTACGTGAGGCTCGGGGAGCTGGAGGGCTGGGCCCCCTCCCACTATCTGGTGCTGGGTGAGAACGAGCAGCCCGAGCCCTCGGGCCCCGGGTCGGCCCCCGCCACGGTCCAGAACCCGCAGCACGAGGGCAAGTCAGACAGCCTGGAGAAGATGGAGAAGCGGGTGCAGGCCCTGAACACCGTCAACCAGAGCAAGAAGGCCACGCCGCCCATCCCCTCCAAGCCGCCAGGGGGCTTCAGCAAGGCCCCCGGGGCGGGGGGCGGGGCCGGGCCCGTGAAGATGCGCAATGGCGTGCGGCAGGTGGCCGTGAGGCCCCAGTCGGTGTTCGTGTCCCCGCCACCCAAGGAGAACAACCTGTCCTGCGCCCTGCGCAGGAACGAGTCCCTCACGGCCACCGACAGCCTCCGGGGTGTCCGCAGGAACTCCTCCTTCAGCACGGCCAGCTCGGCCGCCACGGAGGCCAAAGGCCGCCTGACCGAGCGGGCCGCCAGCCAGGACTCGAGCACGCCCCTGCTGCCGGCCCAGCGCAATGGCATCCCCGTGTCCCCCGTGCGCCCCAAGCCCATCGAGAAGTCCCAGTTCATCCACAACAACCTCAAGGACGTGTACGTCTCCATCGCAGACTACGAGGGCGATGAGGAGACCGCGGGCTTCCAGGAGGGGGTGTCCATGGAGGTGCTGGAGAGGAACCCCAACGGCTGGTGGTACTGCCACGTCCTGGATGGGGTGAAGCCCTTCAAAGGCTGGGTGCCCTCCAACTACCTGGAGAAAAAGAACTGACTCAGGCACCAGACGCGGGGTGCGGGAGGGAGAGCCTGCCAGACCCCGCGGGGGTGCCGTGGCAGAGACCCCACGGGCTGAGCCCTGGAGAGGACTCTGAGGCCCACGTGTGGTGACTTCGCTGGTCGGTGGGTTGCACACCTTTTGCGACCCGCCACGTGGACTGAGCCGTCTGTGCCTTGGCTATAGATCTGGACCGATCCGAGGGGCACAGACGCTCCTGCTCCCACCCCCATGCCCTGCCCTGCCCTGCCCAGCCTCGGGCGCTGGTCCCTGGACTGCTGGAGGTGATTCTGGTGTTGTCCTAACCTGTGTCTCCTGAGCTGGGCTGGTCTCCCGGCAGCCTCCGCCTCCCACCATGGTGGGGTGCCTCAGGCCCCCACTGGCTCAGCGGGGCTCTCTTGGATCTTCCAACTGCCCCCAGCTAATAGCTGGTGCCACCAAGGACCACCTTTCTCAGTGGTCTCTGCCCCAGCCCTCTTCAGGGCACCCCCCGGGGGGCCCCAGCAGCCAAAGAGTTTACAGAGCAAAGGTGGGGGGGGGGTGGGGGGATGGGGGCTTCTTCCTCCCCATCATCTTCCTCCCAGTCTATCTTCAGGGGGCACCGGAGTATTTCCAGCCGGGTTTCGGGATAAGTTGATTGACCTGGAGCTTATGTCAGGCCATTTGGTTTTGGATCTTATTTTCGGGGTTCTTTGGGAGCCTAAGGGTGGTCCCTCTGGGAAAGGGATGAGCCGTGGTTGGGCTTTTCTGTTGTCCTCTCGTAGGAGTGGGTTATTTTGTTGCCTTTGGTTGAATGTCACGCCCCCTCCATTCACCAAAGTCATTATTTGGTTTCTACTGTGGAGACAGGAAGAGGGGCGGGGGTGTGAGGCCAGCCTGGCAAAAGCAGAGGAGCTGCCCGCCTGGTTCTTGCCCAGCCTTGATGGGGCCAAAAAATCCTCCCCAGGAGGGAGGAGGAGGTAGTGTTTAGAAGAGAAGCCGTGTCCCCAGGGCCACTGAATGAGCCACCCTCTGCCGGTACTGGCGGTGCCCAAGCGCAGAGAGGCTTCTGGAACTGCCCTGGGGGCCCAGCTGGCCCTTCAGCCTGCTGGTGATGCCACAGGTGTCCGAGGAGGAGGATCTCCGAGCCAGGAGCCAGCCTGGTCTCCCCAAGGGGCAGCGCCCGGTGGAGAGAGAAATGCAAGAATCACACTCCACGGGCCGGGCCGGCTCTGGATTGTGCCGTTCAGCTGTTGGTGTTTGGAGGGCTTGCTCCAAAAGCTGCCTCCCGCTTCCCAAGGACTCCCCTTTGCTGGGAGTGGATTCCCACACGTGCCTCTGACTTCACACCGCCGGGATGCCGCGGCCAGAATCCCTGAGCGAAGCGCTTGGGTTTGGGGGTTTTCTGTACCCTCCACAGAGACCCCAGGGGTCTCTGTGCCTTGCCTGGGATCTCCCAAGCTCCCTCGCCCCGCCCCACCCTTGGATGCCTGGGCAGCTCTAGCTGACCACTCCTCTTGTCTGTCCCAGGGCCGCGGTGGGCATGACGGTCTGGTTTGGTTTGTGTAAACATTGAAACTAGTTCTTTTCTTCTGCTGGACAGTATTAAATAGAGCTGGATGTCGCGTTAACCTGCTAAGACTGAAGTACTAACGGTAGCGGCGTAGTGTCTTCATAGTGATATTATTTTTGACTTATTTGAACAATAATGATGACGAAGTGGTTCATTACTTTTTAATCAATGCACTTTAGTAAGCGAGGCGGGGTGGTAAGAAACCCGGAGCGTGTGAGTGCATTCCTTAAAGATGCAGTATATGCTTTCCTCAGTTTAAACAGCACATATTTATTAAATGAAAACAAAGTAACTTATGATTATTTAAAATAAAATGTAAAAGGGGAGTGGCTGCAGGGCTCAGGGACCTTCCAAGTAAACTCCCTTCCAGGTCGAGGGCCCGGCGGCCTGGCCCCTGTTACCTGCACTGAGCCGGCTCCATCCTCAGTGGGCAGAGGAAGGGCTACGGGACACAGCTGCACAGAGCATCAGAGAGTGATGCCAGGGACGGCCTGCCCTGCCCCTCTGCCCCGTTGGGGCTCTCCACCACTTGTGAGGCCCATGGTCACCTGCTATCCCACCCCCACCCGCCCCTCACCCCCACCCTCTCCTTCCTTCTCGGTGCTCTTAAGTCAAAGTCATGAAAAGGCAGGACGGAATGGGCCTTGGGGTGGGGGTGGGGGTCACTCCATCCCCACCCCTCTTGTAACTGCAGCCCGGTGACAGGAAACGATTTGCCCAATGTCACACAGCCACGTCATGGCAGAGCCCCTCCCCCTTACACGACTCCTTATGCAAGCACCCCCTCCCCCCCATCGTTTTTTCATGTGGTCATCATGTTTACATTGTGACTCCCAGCCCTAAGGATGGCTGTGAGTCGCTCAAGCATCCAAGCATCCGGGAGAAGTAGGGTGTGCTGACGCCTGGCGGCAGCGTGCAAACATAAACAGTAAACAGGGATTGATTGCCCTGCCCCTCTCCCTCACTGCACCCCACCCCCCACCCCAACTCACAGCACAAACCCTGCCAGCCCAAAGAGAATATTAATACTTGAAGCAAGAGGGTGTGTGCCAGTCCCTCAGGCCCGACATGGCCAGAGGGTGTGTGCCCCGTGCCCCGGTTCCTGGCCTGACCATGGGTGGGAGGACTATTCTTTCCCTAGAGCGGCTGAGCGGTGGTGCAGGGGACTGCCAGCAGCTGGTGGGAGGAGGAAGGAGCCATGGCTCTGACCCATCTGGAGGAAAACCAGATCGGACTGGAAACGGGGAAGGCAATCTCAGCAGTGTCCAAACCTAGTGGCCCATTGGTTTCGATTGAAAATGTGAAAATGACATTGTATTGCTGTATACTGCAACTTTAATCCTAATGAGCCCTTCTGAGGTCATTATTGAGGTTCCTATAATGCCCGAAGATGTATTGGTTGGTGCTTTGATTTTCTTTCAGTTTAAAACCCTTTTTATTAGGGGGGGGGTGTGTGTGGTGGTGGTGGGGTGTCTCTATCTCTCGCCCACCTCTTTGCAAACAGCCAGCCTGACTGGGCTGCCTGGTACCCCCATACTATCCCCACCAGGAAGTGGACCTCTCGGGGCCAGGGGAGGAAGCCAGGCTGGGACAGCCCCCAGCAGCAGAAGTGTGAGCTGGTCTGCCCTGGGGTGTGTTAGCCCCCGAGTGGACACTACGGTTGGGCCCACAACCACCCCTCTTGCTCCTCCGTTCTCCGTCTCGACGAAGGCATTATATAGCGTCATTGTAATCACTTTCAGATGTTAGAAGCATATTTTACTGGCTTTTGTATCCATCGCTTTCCTCAGCAAGACGTTACTGCTTTTGTCATCTAAGGGGAAAAGACAAGGGAATTTGGGGTCAAGCATTATTTTCATAGTACTAATATGTGCAGAGTAGGCGTAGAACTATTTAAGTGTAGACCTCGGTTGGGTAGTTTGTTTTTAAGGGAGGGGGGAAAAAAGATAAAAATAGCCCCCACTTTTCTTGGTTTGGTTTTGTTTTTTGTATTTACCATATTATTTCTTTAAGGTTACTCGTTCCCTCTCCTCCAAATACTTTGCATTCTCAATCGAAAAGGAAAACAATCTGAGAGACAGGAAACGTGCAATATTATTGAGCTGGATGCCAGGCTGGTTTGGACAGCAGTGGAGAGGGGCTCCTGGGTCCAGTGGGAGGAAGGTGGAGGAGGGGCTGTGGGAAGAATGGCAACTGGGGCAGAGTCCGGTCTCCCCTCTCCTCCCCTGTAAGACGGTAGGGGTACCCATAAGGTGGTGGCCCCCTTTTTCTGTTGGGTGTCAGCCACGCCAAAGAAAGGGGCCTAGGGAGATAGCATGGGCACTCCAATCCCCTGGGACCCTGGAGCCTAGGCTGAGCGAGGGGGCCCCTCGAGGAGCTGCTCCCCATGCCACAGCCCACTGCCCAGAAAGATCTGCCCCCAAAACAACTCCCAGCAGGGCTTTCGCCCCAGCCACCCAATGTTTGGGCTGTGGCCCTTGTGATGTGTCTTTAAATCTTTCTTAAGACTAAGTAACCTCAGTTCAGGTCGTGGGCAGGGACTCCCTAGGTTGTAACCAGCTTCTTTGGGGATAGAGTAGGTGCCCTTAGTCCTGACTCCCCATCTCCACCTCCCCAAGACACGGCTCGCCCCCACTGCAGCTGGGCCTGGTGTTGAGCTCGGGCTATCGTTCATCTCATCACTTCAGCCCAAGGAGTGGGCCGTGCCACCTCTGCCCAGCCCCCAGGTTGACCCCAAGGACCTTGGAGAAGAGTCAGAACTTCTCAAAGCCAGGTGCCCAGCCAGCCTGCAGGTTGAGAAAGGAGCAGGATGGAGCATCTTATCCAGGTCCTAGCCCTTGGAGCTCTACCCCTCGGACCACTGGGCGCCCCCCCTCCCGTGCCCCCCACCACCACCATACAGTACTGTACGCTGCTGCTCCAGCCCCTCTCTTTGGTGAATTTCTGAACAGATCACCAGATTCATGTGGGGGCTACCAAAAATTCATGCAGAAGGGAATCAATAAATAGTTCATGGGCCTTTCCCACCAATTTTCTGATGACCCGCCCAGAGGTATCTGTGGGACCACGTCTTTGAGAATCTCCATGCAAAGCTCTCTGGAGAGAAAACCATCCAGGTGGCTAAAGGATTTGGATTCCCTCACTTTTTCGAGGGCTGTGTGTGTGCGTGTGCGCTTTCCCACTTGGATTAAATAATATGGGGTTCGAGAAAGAAACACCAGGGGAGTCATCTCCAT